TTAAAATAAATTGTACAGTACATTTTGCTCTGGTAATCCACTGGAAATCCACCCCTTTGCTGGGATCAGGATAATCCAGTTTTTTGGAATCAAACTGATCCCAATCCTGTGTTATCGGTTTGAACTACCCATTTTGAAGATTTGATCCAGATAAAAGCTTGGATTGGATTTCCTGATCTGATCGGATAAGAAAGTGATCCTAATCCTGTTTTTTGTTTTGAACTCCCCAAAATCCAAATCTGATCTGATCAGATAGGGATTCAAAGTTTTGAACTACTGGGCCCTGGAGTTCAGGGGCTGCAAACATCATCTGTCCCCAGCAGTGACCAGCTTGGAAGGCAGCTCTCTTTGTGTGCTGAATTGATGCTCACTTCTCTACTTCCCCTCTTCTACGACCAGGCCAAATATGTGGCCATGATTCGTCATTCCATCGATGAGGTAAGTCAGGCATCAGAGATTCTGAATCCTGGTCAGATCGCTCTGGATCCACCTCTATGCGCTGTGGCAAAACAAACCCAGTGGAGCTGGCCTGCAACTCACAGTGAAGATCATTTTATTGTGATGTTTGTTGGGTTTCACATTGAGATGGCAGCACTCAAGGTACTTGGCGACCTCCTGGAGGGGTAGCGGGTGGACAAAAGCAGTGTCATGTTCCCAGTTCCACTTCTGGTCTATCATCCTGCAGCTGGAAATAGAGTTGATGATCTATGTGCGATCAATAAGAGAGGCAGACTTCCTACTCTACATAAATGCCTTGACCAAGATTGTGCCTTGGTTCATTTCATTTCAAACCTTTATTNGGCAGCGGCACAATATGAACTGTCAGGAAGACTCGGGTCTAACTCATGGTCCCAAGCCCTGTTGTTGCCATTTTATTTTCTGTTAAATAAGGTTAGTTAGACCATGAGTTAGACCCGAGTCTTCCTGACAGTTCATATTGTGCCGCTGCCCGGTGTAATTGAAATGTACCGCCGCGCGCAGCACAGACACACAGCTATTGCCCAGCCGCAGCACCGGAAATGGAACTGCTGGGAGAAAAACTGACTATCAGAGATGTAACGTTATCTTTGATAAAATTTAGTTTCCTCATTTTTCGTCAACAAAAGTAAGAGAGATTTTGGCATAGTTTTTATTTAGTAAACTACATTTTCGTCTCGTCACTTTTCGTCAACGATATTGCATGATGATTTCGTAACTGTTATTGTTTACTGCCTTCGGTGCCGTCTCGTCATCGTCTCGTTTTCGTCATGGAAAAAAAGGGCGTTGACGAACATATTTTGTCATAGTTTTAGTCAACGAAATTTACACTACAAGGGATCAAATACTTATTTCCTCCACTGTAGGTGTCATACTGGTCCTGTCCAAGTTTCTCAATCTGGTTCAGAGTGTCAATGACTGCTGCATCGGCAGTACAAGAAGATCTACAATGCTCTTTTCACAGCATGGATTGCCCATGTCTTCTATAGCACCAGTTAGTGCTTTAACATCTCGTGCAAATGCCATTTGTGCATGTTTGGTCTGCTCATGGTGCCGGGTGTCAGTCTTCTTTCTCTTCTCAGTGGAGGCCTCAAACTCTCCATCCACACGTGCCATCTCGGGGCAAGACAGCATTCATCGTCTCGTGGGCTTGGTCAATGGCAATAGCAGAGAAGCTGCATGTCGTTTTCTTCACAGCCTTTCCTTTAAGAAAAATGGACATCAGGATGGTTATCTTTTAGCACAATCATGTCAC